AACAGGTAGAGTCATGGCATATTTTAATTTTTAGTTAGAAACTTGAAGTGGCAGTGCTGTGTGTACTAAATGGTGGGTCGTATCATTCCCAAGTCTAATGTGGTCGATAGTCTATCATGGTAGTGTAACTTGCCTGAAAAATTCTTATCTTCTTGCTTTGACTCAGGTTAAGCCAGCCTTGCCAGTTCTTCGGCAACTTATTTTCCTGAATGATGAAGAAGTTTTGACAGATGCTTGCTGGGCCCTTTCTTATCTTTCAGATGGCCCAAATGACAAAATTCAGGCTGTGATTGAATCAGGCGTTTGTCCACGACTCGTGGAACTTCTGACGTAAGTTGCTTTACGTATAAACTTCTCAGAGTGATACTGAAATTCAGCACCCTTTGCTTTATTTCATTAAAACGTTTTTGCTTAGCATATTCTTATTTTGACAACAATGTAGTTTAGCATATTTTTCTTTTTGACAATCAGTGGGAACCAAATAAAGGGGGAATAGATTGTCGAAATATATACCATAATGTAATGTGATTGTGTTTTTATATGCTTGTCGGTGTTTCTTCTTAGTTTCGAGATTTGATATGGACTAAATTTCATTTTTTTTTTTGGTGTGCAAGGCATCCGTCCCCTACTGTTCTTGTTCCTGCTCTTAGGACAGTTGGCAACATTGTCACTGGTGATGATGCTCAGACTCAGGTATTAGCCACAATCTGTTAATGCTATCGAGTTTCTTACTTCAGTCTTTTTCCGTGCTAGGTCATATTTTTTATTTTCATTCACAACAAATGTTGTAATTTACACTGGGGAGCCCATCATGACTTACAGTATTCTGTTTATCCGATTCAAAATTTTGTGCATGTATGATCAGTCCAGTTTATTCGGGAAACAAGTGCATTTTTTTAGTGCACGTTTTTGTAAAGTTGATGCAGAAAAGCACTTACCTGTCCTTCCTTTTGTGTTTGGATTACTAACAGACTGCTAGTAGATACTTTAATTTAACTCTTTTGTAGTTAACTCCTTGTTTTGAGTAGGAGACCATATGAACTCACCTTTCCCTCCTCTTTTCTCTACCATTTGTCTGTGTCTTATGCTTGTGGTTGCCCCTCAAATAGAGCAGCATAGTAACCTGCGCTGCATTTTCCAGTTTGCAATAGACAACCAGGTCCTCCCTTGCCTCTTTCAACTTCTTACGCAAAATCACAAAAAGAGCATAAAGAAGGAAGCTTGTTGGACGATCTCAAATATCACAGCTGGAAATAAAGCTCAAATACAGGTATAAATCCTCTCGCAAGTCATATTTATCTGTTAAAGCGTTTAACTTGCATGAATAAGAATGATGAGGTCTAACGAATCCATAATACTAGAATCCTTTTGTTTCTAAAGCATGCTTTGTGCTGGTCAATCATATTTTGTCCAAAATGATGTCTTCTAATGTAAAGGGTCAAAATTATTACTCTCTCCATCGGCTATCCATCGATAACAGGGTATATGGTCAGACCCTGTATGAGGACTATCGATGTTCAATAGATAGCAGACCTTCCCTCTTTGAGGAAAACGAGAGGCTTTTGTAGTAAAAAATGGATTTTCTAACTTTAAAAGTTTTGCTTTTGGCTTCAAATTTACACCATTTCATGCAGAGAAGTTGTTTGTCTCTTTAAAGAAAATTTTATACTTTGCGTTGCCCTTTTTCTGAGTGGTAATATAGTGTTGGAAAATTCTGGTGGATTTTCCTTTTTAACGTGTATTAATATCTCCTTCATATGACCTTTGTTTTTTCTTTGCTTTAACTCGTGGGATGGTGGATATTGGAGCGATTTCAAGGCGTCAATTTTGATTGTATATGGCCTAATTATTTAATTGAGTCTTGAGGTTGATGCCACTTTATAATCTGCTTGTAAGCATTATCTACTGAGTTCACTTTCGCAGGCTCTAATTGTTGCCAATATCATTCAACCGCTTTTTTGATTGTTTATGGCCTAATTAATTAGTTGGGTTATGGGTATTGAGGTTGATGGCTCTTTATATTCTTTTTGTAACCATTATCTACTGAATTCACTTTCGCAGGCTGTAATTGATGCCAATATCATTCAGCCACTTGTACATCTTCTCCAACACGCGGAGTTTGAAATAAAAAAGGAGGCTGCATGGGCCATCTCAAATGCCACTTCGGGTGGTTCTCATGAACAAATCCAGTATGCTTAACCTCTGCTTTCTTCTTAGCTTACACTTGTGCATTTCTAATTAAACGACAAAAAAGAAAAGAATAATTTGGGGCAAGTTCTGTTGTCCTTTTTGTGTTCATTAATTTGCGCTTAGTTCTGTTGCCCTTTTTGTGTTCATTCAGTCGGTTATATTCCATTTACACATATCAAGAACTTTAACTCCTGAGTAAGTCTATTTTAAGCAATTTTTATTGTTGACACCTGAAATTGATGGATTACTGTCTAGTCGATGGTGAATACATCTTGCAACGCCAATTATTTTAATGCAATTTAGTGTTTACTTTATTGTGCAACATAATGCCTTATCACAGCCTTGCACTTACATGAACATGCACTTTCAGATTCCTGGTTACCCAAGGTTGCATTGCGCCACTCTGTGATCTTCTAGCTTGTCCAGATCCAAGGATTATAACAGTCTGCCTTGAGGGTCTTGAAAACATTCTCAAGGTGGGTGAGGCTGACAAAGAAATGGGACTGAACGGCGGAATCAATCTTTACGCACAGCAGATCGATGAATGTGACGGACTGGATAAGATTGAGAGTCTTCAGAACCATGACAATAATGAGATTTATGAGAAGGCCGTGAAGATCTTGGAGAGATATTGGACTGAAGAAGATGATGATGAGAACCTCCCAGTTTTCGCTGGAGGCCAGCCTACCCTTCCTCCCGGCGGCTTCAAGTTTGGGTAATAATAGTACAATTGCAGCTGTCTCCCCTGCTTTCGACCATCGTTTTTTGTTTTTGTTTTTCTTTTAGTTTCCCTCTTTTCCGGGACGAATTCTTTAAAACTTCAATTACATTTTTCATTGTCAGAAGCCAGGGTTTTTAGTATGGCACATGGGCTCTTTTATGAATTTGTTATGTTGGAAGTCTGGAAATTTTTTGCTTCCTATATTGTTTTCCCTCTCTTTAAAATTTACACACTGGAATAGGAATCCTATTGCCTTTATGTCTAAGAGGGCGACTGTCTGTCGTTTGATATGTCTATTCTTGTTTTTCCACTTTATTTGGTTGGTCGTTCTTGTTTCTTAAATATTGGCTTTTGACTGAGAGTAGGAAAAAGAAAAAGGAAAATGGTTGCTTCATATTGCTGCCAATGTTCTGGAAATGTTGGAGAACATTGACCAATGTTATGAGTAGTTGTTGTGCGAGAAAGCTCTCGAACGAGAGTGAGAATTTAGATGTGTTGGATTATAATCTTTGCCGATGATAATGGTTCCAAATTGGCCAAGTTTAGATTTCTAAATTGTTTGCCATTCCCATTTTCCTTTTTCTTTCCGCTTTATTTTTAGGTAATCTTGATAAATATCTCTTGAAAGTGCATGGGTCAGGATTTTTACTATTTACTCTTAATTCTTAGCTTTTTTAGTCAAATAATTACATTAACAAAATGGTATTTATTAAGAGTAAGGGATAAATGTTCAGATTCATGCATTTTTAAAGGATAAATTCTCCATTTTTTCTTTATTTTTTATAAGATCTAAGTGAGGAAAATATATTATGAAGTATAGCCGTAATATTATGATAGTCAATCCATCGAATTATCATTAAATGAGTGATTATTTTTTGATGAAACTCCCAAATCTTCCATCTATAACGAAATTCTTGCTTTGCTTTTGGTTTAAAGTTAAACTATGAAGTATCCAATGTTTATCTATTTGTCCGCGTTGTGGTGAGGAGGTTGAGGACACTACTCATGCTATGTGGCCTTGTGCGGGCAGTAAGAGGAGTGTGGGAGGGGAGTGTGTTATGGGACTTCCTTAGGAAGTTGAAGGGAGGTCCTTTCTCCTCTCTCTGCTTATTTGTCACCGAAGAAGGCAAGAAGGATGTCATAGAACTATTCTGCGTGATTTGTTGGAGTATTTGGTGTGCCCGAAATGCTCTGGTATACAATGGCAGACTTACTACTGCTATTGTGGTAATTGAACGGGCAGGACGGGTATTTGAAGACTAGAGTGGCTGTCGGAAGTTGGACTCGCCTCTACCAAATAGATCCGTGTGGCATGCTCCTGAAGGTGAGGTGGTTAAAATAAATGTTGATGTTTCAGTATTAAGTTCTGCGGATTATGTTGGTATTGGCATTGTCGCTCGGGATAGGCAGGGTGTTGTTCTAGGTGCTTGCTTTATTCGTATTCCTGGCCGGTTTTCACCCCACGTTGCAGAGTGTATGGCTGTTAGGGAGGGTGCACTTTTCGCCGTCTCTAATGGTTTTTCAGAATGGGTTATTGAGTCCGATGTGATTAATGCAGTTCAAAAGGTTCAGACTCCTTCGGATCGGGCCTCCGAAGCAGGTGTTATTCAAGATATTAGAGCCATCTTTGTTCAAGCTCGTTGTGACTTTGTTTCCTATACATCCCGTGAAAAGGAATAATGTAGCCCACACGTTAGTGTTAGTTGGTCATGTTTTTGTTTCCTCTATTAATTTGTTTTGGCGTCATTATATGCCTTGTTTTATTAATTGCGTTGTAAGAAGTGATTTTATTCGTGCTTAATAAATCCTTTTAAGTTTATCCTCGAAAAAAAAAAAAGTTAAACTATGAAGTAAAAATGAAATTAGTAAAAATGATTATCCGGTCGTTTTATGTAAAAATTGGTTGTTCCCGACCATTCCTCGTCATTCTGTGGTTATTTTGCAAATAAAACTATCTAATGAAATCATTTTACTCCATCTCTGCTTGTAAATCCAAACACCATATTTTATCTTTAAAAAAAAAAGAAAAAAGTCCAAACACCATTTTGAACTTGGCTTCAAGCCACAAGAACAAAATGCTTTGAATTAAAACAGTGATTATTTAGAGAAAAAAAAAAATGCACGCTAAATTCTAAAACAAATTCATATTAAGGTAAGGTCAAGCGATAGTATCTCAGCGTTAGGGCGTAGCGTAGGACAGTGAACCAGCGACGGCCTGTGTCATATTGATCATGCAACTTGAAGACGAGCTTCAAACAATGGAGCCTAACAACAACACAGTAACACACGACGAAGAACAAGAAGACGACGACGACGAACATGGCGTTCTCCTCTATTACAAGTACGCCCAGATCCCGGACCTCAACCATCTCCTTGATTTCTACACCTCCAATTGCAATTCCCTCCGCCTCCTCGGCCGTGTTCGTCTCTCTACTCTCGGCGTCAACGTCACTGTACTCTCTCTCTCTCTCTCTCTCTCTATATATATATATATAATGTTTTTGACTAATAATAGGACTAAAAAGTGAAGATTCTATGGTTTTTAGGGTTCTGCTGATATTTGGGGGATTTTGCTGTTCGATTAGGTTGGTGGGACGCTAAGCTCGTTGAAGAAGCACATTGCTGCGGTTGAGTGGAACAGTTTGTTCCATGGCACCGACTTCAAGATCGCGGCTTCTCCTCGCCCAATGGGCGACAAGGTTGCCAAAGAATGTGGATTCACTTCTCTCTCAATTCGCATTGTGAAGGTGATTCTTGTTTAGATTGTTTTAGTAATTGCCTTTCTTTGAACAGTTAATTTGTTGAATTTTTAATCTTTGTTGTTAGGAATTGGTTACTTTGCACTCTAATCCTCTGCTGACCAGAAATTTCAGATGCTGGGAAGCATCTTTCTGCTCTCGAGTTTCACTCTGTTCTCCAAAAAGCTGGTTGGTTATTGTTAATTTTTGGCCTTTTCATTTTTTGCTACATTATTAGTCAATCGATTTATTTTTAGTAGTTTTGCTATTTACTGAAGCTTCCCATTATAAGCATGTTGAATTATATGTGTGGGATACTCAAAAGAAAATGGGATTTTTATGGTGATGTGCTAACTGCTAATTTAGTGTGTGTGTCACAGGAAAATCTTTAGATGCTAGGGATCCAACAGACAATAAGCAACTTGTTTTGTTAGATGCAAGAAATTTGTACGAGACGAGAATCGGAAAGTTCGATGCTCCAAATGTCAAAACTTTGGATTCAGGAATTAGGCAGTATAGTGATTTGCCCTTGTGGATTGATCATAACTCGGAGAACTTGCGGGGCAAACATGTCCTCATGTAAGTGGTTGTTGTGGACAGTGTCTAAATGTTGTTTTGGGTTGTTATACAGCTTCTATTTCTAATAACATGAGTTGTTGTGACTTGTGAAACAATTTTTCGTGGAATTGCTATCAATTTTTGAAGTCATAATGTCATATAGATCCTGATTTATATTTATAAAAAATGGTCTATATTCTACAGTAAGTTTTGTGTACTTTTGTAGTTTTGAGTATATATGTGTAATGTGTAATGATTGAAAAATGTCAATGTGGTCGTCCTTAGTGCAGGGTATAGTATTCATATTACTAACCTTACTTGGAGTTGTTATTCTCACGTGCTGTTAGTTCTTTAGCTGTACTCCTGATTCCTCAACATATTGAGTTCACGCTTGTATCTTGCCTAATCAGGAGTGTTGAATATGTTGAACATCAGGAAACTGATTATGCAGTGGTTACTTTATCCTCACTATTAATCATCACTGGTGATTTGATTTGGATTGCAGGTATTGCACTGGGGGAATCAGGTGCGAGATGGCATCAGCTTATATAAGGTCAAAAGGGGCTGGTTTTGAGAATGTATTTCAGGTTCGCTTTTGCTAAAAGTTGGCATTTTGTTTTGTGTTGTTGATTTCATTAACATCGTCTCAACATCTCCACATCATTTAAAATTTCACTCTGGAGCCAAGGATTCCGGTTGGGTTGTACAACATATTTTAGTAGCTTGGAAAAACTGGCCTTCAGGAATATCAAGCTATGATGTACCCAAAAAAGATATATATATATATATATATTTGCTTTAGTTTTTCTTTGTTAACTAGAAAGTACGGAGTTCAAGCAGCAAGGTACTTGCTTTCTTATGACAACGGCAATGACCTTTTTTTGTGTGTTAATAATTCTTTGGGTTTATCGCAGTTATTTGGTGGAATACAGCGTTATTTGGAGCAATTTCCTGATGGTGGTTTCTTCAGAGGAAAGAATTTTGTTTTTGACCACCGGTATGAATTTTGTTAGCTTACTAACTTCTCTTACTGCTTAAGTACTTTTTTTTTTTTTGGTCCATCTTATTTTCAGTAATGAAATAAGTAAGTTGCATGTGTAACTGTAGGATATCAGTTGGGAGCTCAGATGCAGATATATTGGGTAGCTGTCTTTTTTGTGGCTTACCCTTTGATGATTATTCTTCGCGCCTCCGGTGCACTTACTGTAGAATGCTTGTTTTGGTTTGTTATAGTTGCCAGGTAAGAGCGTATTTTTATCATCAAATGCTAGCAAGTTTGTTATATTGGTGTGAATTAATGAGATCGAATATCAATTATCATGTTTAAACAATCCAATCTCTTGCTTTACCTGTCTCAACTTCATTATGTTTATTTGTTTCACTTCTCTACTATTCTCTTTAATTTTTCTAATATGTGCCCACAGAAGGAGGGCATTGCATTTGTCTGTGAGCTATGCAAGAAACACCACAAAGATGTTGGGTTGATTTCATCAGTTGAAAATGGCAGATCAGAGGAAGTTTCAGCCTATGCTGAACTCAATACTGATTCCGCAGATGCCAAAATCTCACCTCATGTACCTGAGAAACAGGGTAAGGACTGTATCTGAATTTCTTGATTAATTCTTTGCATGTTCGTGTACCCTGAATAAGTTGACTATTGATGTTGATCGTCTCTTTTCCGTAGCCTGTAGGTTGCACATGTTCTGTCTAGTCTTCTTTAAAATGCGTTTATATATGAATGTATTGAAGTCTCTTTTAAGTATTAAAAATTTTACATGTATAAATTTTGGCCACAAGTAAACAACCTTTTAAGTTCAGTGCATCCTTAACAGTAATTTCTATTAGACTTGTTTTTGGTCGTCTAGTGTATAGGATTCAAATGCTAATATATCCTGTAATCAAATGAGTTGGAAGCTTAGTTACTGACAACCACCACATGCTGCAGATAACAGACATCGACGAAAACTCAGAATCTTATGCTTGCACGGATTTCGACAGAATGTGTCTAGTTTCAAAGGAAGAACTGCGTCATTTGCCAAGAAACTTAAGAACATTGTTGAGCTTGCCTTAATTGACGCGCCTCATGAGTTGCCCTTCATTTATCAACCAAGTGTATCAGAGTCGGATCAAACTTGTGCATCACCTTCACCACTAAAAGGTCCTCCTCCACCGTCGCAGCATTGCAAGAAGAAGTTTGCCTGGTTAGTGTCACCCAATTTCGGCCAAAGTAGCAAAACAGACTGGAAAATTGCAGATTGTCCATTTGATGCTCTCCAATACCAGCAGCAAACTGATGGGTTTGAGGAATCATTGGCGTATGTAAAAGATATGATCTCTCGAGAAGGGCCATTCGACGGGATCTTGGGATTTTCTCAGGGTGCTGCAACGGCTGCCGCAGTGTGTGCTCGACTAGGGACACTTAATGGAAAACTGGAGTTTAGATTTGCAATTTTGTGTTCTGGGTTTGCTCTGAATTTACCGGAGCTTGACGGGGGATTGATCCAGTGCCCCTCACTTCACATTTTTGGGAGTGACGATGGAAAAGACAGGCAGATAGCAAACAAAGCAAGCAGAGAACTGGCTTCATTGTTTGACGATGGTTGCTCTGTCGTAATCCAACATGACTCTGGCCATATAATCCCTACTCGTTCTCCCTATATAGACCAGATCAAAGAATTTCTCCAACGCTTTCTCTAATGGTCTCCAATTCATCTTTGTTTGCATTAGCATTTCTTTAACAAGCACAGAAATAGTTCACCAAAATGACAATTATTTTTATTTATCATTTATAAACAGTTTATCATGCCCAAAGAATTGAATCAAGGGATAACATCCTATTTGTGCACGTGACACATACTATTATCAATATACATGTTATTGAATCTTTACAGATGGATTTCAAGCAAAAAAAGAGAAAAAATCTATACAGATGGATGTTTTGATGGGAAAGAAAATGTTGGGAAGAGCAGCTATTTTTTGGACGTGATCAAGGGGATTTTGCACACTAATAAATGTCCACATCTAACCATAGTTTCTTGACCTACTTCTCATTTATCATAGTAGCGGCATGACGGCGAGAGGACGACTTATTTGGCTCTCACTCCCACTAATCATGGATCGATTCTTGTTATTAGGCTCTCACTCCCACTAATCACGGATCGATTCTTGTTCGCAGCAAGATTGTAACTATGCCTCTCAATGCACCTGCCCAATATGATTTGGGCTTGCTGTGTCTTGCGTTGTGTAGACGTTGGTAGACGAAAACATGGGTCGGGCTTCCTTATCGTCGCACTTATGGTTTTAATATATTCTTCTTAAATGCTGGGTGTGAGGATATTACTATTTTTTTTTAATAATAAGTAAAAAAATATTTAGAAAATGAACATTTTGTGCCTGTTTGGTTTCGTTTTCAAAAACGTTTTTCACGTTTTCCAAGAACAAAAAAATGAAAAATGCTATGAGGGAGCCGTTTGGCAGCATTTCTTGAAAAACAGAAAATGAAAACGTTTTTTTTACTTATTCTTAAAAACTCAGCAAAACTGAAAACGATTGAACATCGTTCTGAGTTTTTAGGGGTTTTTACGGCTTTTTTAGGGTTTTTAGGGCTTTTAGGGGTTTTTAGGGTTGTAGGGGTTTTTAGGGTTTTTAGGTTTTTTTTAGGGTTTATCTAGGATTTATTTAGGGATTTTTAAGGGTTTTAAAGGTTTTTTTAGGGTATTTTTGGGTTTTTTAAGGATTTTAATGGTTTTTTTAAATGTTTATTTAGGGTGTTTTTTTTTAGGATTTTTAGGGTTTTTAGGGTTTTTTCTTAGGATTCTTAGGGTTTTCAATATTTTTTTATGGTTTTTAGGGCATTCTTTTGGGTTTTGTGCTTTTTAGTGTTTTTTAGGATTTTTTTTAGGGTTTTTTAGGGTTTTTATTTTTTTTAGGGTTTATTTAGGATTTATTTAGGGATTTTTAGGATTTTAAGGGGTTTTAGGGGTTTTTAGGTTTTTTAAGACATTTAGGGTTTTTAGGGATTTTTCTTAGGATTTTTAGGAATTTGATGGTTTTTAGGGCTTTTTTGGGTATTTTTTAGCTTTTTAGTGTTTTTTAGGATTTTTTTTGGGTTTTTATAGAGTTTTTTTAAGGTTTTTAGGGTTTTTTTACTGTTTATTTCGGGGTTTTAGGGTTTATTTAGGGTTTCTTTAGGGCTTTTAGCATTTTTTATGGTGTTCAGTATTTTTTTAAGGTTTATTTAGGGTTTTAGGGGGTTTTTAGGGTTTTTTTATTATTGTTTTTAGGGTTTTTTAGGGGTTTTATTGTTTTTAACGTTTTTAGGGTTTTTTGGGTTTATTTAGAATTTTTAGGATTTTTTAGGGTTTTTAAGTATTTTTAGGGCCTTTTTAGGGTTTATTTAGCGTTTTTTTTGGGGCTTTAGGAGTTTTTATCGATTTTTTACGGTTTTTTATGATTTTTAGGGTTTTTTATGGGTTTATTTAGGGTTTTCATGTGTTTTTTAGGTTTTATTAGGTTTTTTTAGCATTTTTAGTGTTTTATGGTTTTTAGGATTTTTTTTAGGCTTTATTTATCGCTTATTTAGGTTTTCTTAGGAATTTTAAGATTTTTAGGGTTTTTTTAGAGTTTTTAGGGTTTTTTTAGGGGTTTTTGGGGTTTTAGGACTTTTTAGGGGTTTTTAGGGTTTTTTATGGGTTTTTAGAGTTTCTTAGAGTTTTTTAGGGTTTTTAGGGTTTTTTAAGGTTTTTTGAGGTTTTTTTTAGCTTTTCTAGGGTTTTTAGGGTTCTTTAAGGATTTTAAAGGTTTTTAGGGATTTTTTGGGATTTTTAGGGTTTATTTAGGGGGTTTAGGGGTTTTTTTTAGGGTTTTTAGCATTTTTAGGAGTTTTAAGGGTTTCTAGGGTTTTTAAGGTTTATTTAGGATTTTTTTGGGTTTTAGGGGGTTTTTAGGGTTTTTTTTAGGGATTTTTAGGGCTTTTTTAAGGGGTTTTTTAAAAGATTTTTAGGTTTTGTAGGGTTTATTTAGGATTTATTTAGGGATTTTTAGGATTTTTAAGGGTTTATTTTTTGTTTTTTAGGATTTTAATGGGGTTTTAATGTTTATTTAGGGTTTTTTACGATTTTTAGGGATTTTAGGGCTTTTAGGGTTTTTTCTTAGGATTTTTAGGGTTTTTAATTATTTTTTATTGTTTTTAGGGCTTTTTTCTGGATTTTTTTTTGCTTTTTAGTGTTTTCAGGGTTTTGGGGGTTTTTAGAGTTTTTTAGGGTTTTTTAGTGTTTCTTTAGGAGTTTTTAGCGTTTTTAGGGCTTTTATGGTGTTAAGTGTTTTTAAGGTTTATTTAGGATTTTAGGGGGGTTTTAGGAGTTTTAAGTGTTTTTTTAGGGGTTTTATTGTTGTTAAGGTTTTTTTTGGGTTTTTAGGGTTTATTTAGGATTTCTAGCATTTTTTTAGGGTTTTTAAGGCCTTTTTAGCATTTATTTAGGGGTTTTTTTTGGGCTTTAGGAGTTTTTATGGATTTTTAGGGTTTTTTTATTGTTTTTATGGGTTTTTATGGGTTTATTTAGGGTTTTTATGTGTTTTTTTAGGGTTTTTTTTAGCATTTTTAGTGTTTTTATGGTCTTTAGGAGTTTTTAGGGTTTATTTATCGCTTATTTAAGTTTTCTTCGGGGTTTTAAGATTTTTAGGGTTTTTTAGAGTTTTTATGGGGTTTTTGGGGTTTTAGGACTTTTTAGGGGTTTTTAGGGGTTTTATGGTTTTTTAGAGTTTCTTAGAGTTTTTAGGGTTTTTAGGATTTTTATGGTTTTTCTGGGTTTTTTGAGGTTTTTTAGCTTTTTGTAGGGTTTTTAGGGTTCTTTAAGGATTTGTAAGGTTTTTAGGGATTTTTCTTGGGATTTTTAGGGTTTATTTAGGGGTTTTAGGCTTTTTTAGGGTTTTTAGCTTTTTTAGGGGTTTTAAGGGTTTCTAGGGTTTTTATGGTTTATTTAGGGTTTTCTGGGTTTTTAGGGGTTTTTAAAGATTTTTAGGGCTTTTTTTAGGGTTTTAGGGTTTTTTAAGGTTTTGAGGTTTTTTTTTAGGGTTTATTTTGGATTTATTTCGGGATTTTCAGGATTTTTAAGGGTTTTTAGGGTTTCTTGAGGGTTTATTTTGGGTTTTTTAGGATTTTAATGGTTTTTTAATGTTTATTTAGGGTTTTTAATTGTTTTTTTATGGTTTTTAGTGCTTTTTTTGGGTTTTTTTGGGTTTTTAGTGTTTTTAGGGTTTGGGGGGGGGGGGGGGGGG